TGAGTGCGGACACTACGGACACCTGGAAGATGACTGCACCCTCAGAGAGACCAACGCCACCGCCACCCCCGAGCAGAAAACAAGATTCGCTGCTGACACTAAGTGAACCGAAGAGATCATACCAGAAATTGTCGAAGATTATGGACCATGGATGATTGCTACAAGAACTAGGAGGAAGAAACAGTCGCCCAAAGCGTCCATTAAGGAAGAGAAGAGAGAAAAGGAAGGTGCCCCGGGTGGATCGAGATTTGCTTCTTTGGAAGTTGAAGAAGCTACTAACCAGGATGAGCAGGGCAGCCGAGAAGAAGTTCTTAGTGGTGATGTAGACCACACTGAAAATCAGGTTGGTGAATCATCTAATGGGAGTGAAAATACTGAGAATATTAGGAACAACCGTGTGGAGGGAGAGAACCAGAAGATGAAAGAGCAGCATCAGAAAAAGAAGACTGTAGAGAAGCATACCAAGAAGGAACATCAAAAAGGATCACCTGAGATAGTGCAACATAAGAGTAAACCAGCCGCACAATCCAAAAGCCAAGGATCTGCCTCATTAAAATTGGTTAGTATGCCAACAGGGAAAGGGGTTGGAACCTCACAAGCTGTGAAGCAGAGTAACCAAGGCAAAGTCACAATTACTCCTAACTCTAAGAGTCCTGCCAACCAAAGGCAAGGAAAGGGGAAAGAGAGTAGTGATGCCAAGGTAGGCCACCAACCGAAAATGAAAGAGCTGTCAGGGAACGGATCCAAGACTCCCACCGCCTTGTCAGCTGTGCCCCCAGAAAGTGGAAGCCTGAAAATGCACAACAATCCCAAAACTCCTTGTGCAATAGCAGAAAGGAAGGGATTGAGACGGCTATGGCCGTCGATCATCAGTGACTGTCGACCTTGGGTCGTGTTCGGGAGGCACCTCTTTAATCTTTCCATGGTTAAAGTATTCTCCTGGAACTGTCGTGGTGCAAAGCACCCAAAATTTCGTTCTTCTTTCGATCTGTTTAAGGCTACTCATGATCCTGACATTGTTTGCATTCTTGAACCACGAATCAGCGGGGAGAAGGCAGAAAAGGTGTATAAATCTTTGGGGTACGACTCATGGGCTATCTCAGAAGCGAATGGCTATAGTGGAGGAATTTGGGTGCTATGGAATAAGGATAAGTACACGTTGGTTGAACTGGAAAATGAGAAGCAGTTCATCCACCTTCAGTGTGCTCTGGCCAATGGTGAGGTTTGTCACCTTACGGTGGTCTATGCTAACCCTAAGGAGGTTGCCAGGAGGGATCTGTGGGATGCTTTGAGAAGGATTTGCCGCAGCATCTCAAACCCATGGCTTATCATTGGGGATTTCAACTCTATTGTAAGTGCCTCTGAAAAACAGGGAGGGGCGACTTTCAGCTTTGCCAAGACGCGTGCTTTCAAGGAGTGTATTGAAGACTGTGGCCTTGTCGACCTTGGATTTTCAGGTCCAAGGTACACTTGGTTCACAAAGGGTTCTCTGATTAAGGAACGACTCGACAGAGGATTGTGCAACCTGGAATGGCATCAGAGATTCCCTCAATCAACGACCTTCCACCTTATCAAGATCAAATCTGACCACCGCCCGATCTTAACCTGCAGTAGCTGCGCTCCGACAAGGCAAAAATTGGTGCGACGTTTCCAGTTTCTTGTTCCATGGCTTGCTCACCAAGAATTTACTCCTACTGTTTCTAATGCCTGGGAAAGCTCTCACCTTTTTCCCTTGTCCTTGCAGAAACTTGCTGTGCATCTTCAAAAATGGAACAAGGATGTTTTCGGCAACATCTTTAAGCGTAAAAGGAAGCTGGCTAATGATCTCCAAAGTCTGGAATTCCTGAATGAAAGGGCACCAACGAGACACTCTTTGGATAATGAAAGAACCACATGGGAGGAGCTTGAGAATACTCTATGGCAGGAGGAAATCCTCTGGCTACAAAAATCTCGGTCTGAGTTCTTTCTCCATGGGGACCAAAACACCAGGTTTTTCCATACTAGCACACTGAGTAGAAGGAAAAGGAACAGAATCACAGGCTTGAAAGCAGAGAATGGAGACTGGATCACAGATACAGAAACCCTTCTCAGCATGGCCAGAGATTTCTACGTCAAGTTGTTCACTAAGGAGGAGGTTCAGGCTAGGCCTAGCATTCCGGCCGACTTTCCTCAAATTGATACCTCTTCTGCTTTGCATTTGGGCGCACCACCCACTGTAGCTGAAGTGAGGGAGATTATCAAAGGAATGAAAGGCCTCAAAGCTCCTGGCAAAGATGGATTTCAAGTGGTGTTCTTTCAACGTTGTTGGAACCTTGTGGGCAAAGACCTTCACAGCTTCATCCTTTCCTGCTACTCGGATCCTGGGAGAGTTCGGTTTGTTAATGAGACTTTATTGGCTTTGATTCCAAAAGTGGAAGCCCCTTCTTCCATGAGTCAGTTCAGACCAATAAGTCTCTGCAATGTGGTTTACAAAGTTCTTGCTAAATGTTTGGCTAACAAGCTTAAGAGTCTCATGCCTACTTTAGTTCGTGCTAACCAATCCAGCTTTGTGCCAAACAGGCATATCACTGATAATGTCATTATTCTGCAGGAAACAGTCCACTCAATGGCAAAGAAGAAAGGCAGGAAAGGCCTTATGCTTCTGAAGATCGATCTTGCCAAGGCATATGACCGGATCGACTGGAGCTTCCTCGAGGAGACCCTCAGCCTTGCTTCTATCCCTCAGAACTGCATCAGACTTATTATGCAATGTGTCACAACCATGGAGATGCAAGTGTTGTGGAATGGAGGGGAAACTGAGAGCTTCACGCCCAGCAGGGGGCTGCGCCAGGGATGTCCACTCTCACCCTATCTTTTTACACTTTGTGTCGAAAGGCTTAGCCATTGCATTTCTAATGAAGTCAGTAAGAAGAGTTGGAAACCGATTAGATTGTCTGCAGGAGCCCCCCCCCCCCCCCCCTATCCCACCTCTTTTTCGCAGATGATCTAGTCCTGTTTGCTGAAGCCTCTCAAGAACAAGTTGTGACTGTTTTGAGTTGTTTGTCCATGTTCTGTGATGCCTCAGGAGAGCTCGTTAGTAAGGATAAATCTAGGGTGTTTTTTTCCAAGAATACGAGAGGTTTGGATAGACAAAATATTTGTAACTGTCTTGGAATTCAAGAAACTGCTGATCTAGGAAAGTACCTTGGTGTACCAGTTCTACATGGCAGAATTACTAAGCATACTTACAGATATATTCTTGAAAATATGGACAAGAGACTTACTACTTGGAAAGCGAATACACTCTCTCTTGCAGGAAGGGTGACATTAGCTCTTTCAGTTTTGAATGCTCTGCCTAACTATGTCATGCAAGCCACCTTTCTCCCTGTTTCTGTTTGCGAAGCCATTGATAGGAAAATTCGTAGCTTTGTTTGGGGTTCTCGGGAGGGGAAAAAGAAAGTCCATCTTGTTTCCTGGGAAACCCTCTACAAACCGAAGAGTCAGGGGGGCTGGGATTATGTTCTGCTAGGAATTTGAACACTGCCTACATGATTAAACTCGGCTGGCAACTGCTTAATAACGAGTCTGACCTTTGGGTACAGGTATTGCAAGGGAAGTACTTCAAATCCAAGGATGGTATGATCACATCAATGAAGACAAGCAATCCATCCAACCTATGGAGAGCAATCAGGAAAGCGATGCCTCTGATGCAAAGTGTTGCAAGCTGGAGCGTCAGAGATGGGACCACTACAAGCTTCTGGCGCCACCCGTGGATCGACTATGGAGTCATTCTTGAGGACTCCCTGCTGAAAGACATTCCTGAAACTGATAGAGCCTCTGATGTTGCAAGCTGGGTCACGGATGAAGGGGAGTGGGATTGGACGAGATTGAATGGCCTTCTTCCTCCTTGTTTGCTTGCTCTTATCGCAGGTATGGAGACCCCCAAACATGAGCTGGGAGAGGACAAGATGATTTGGGGGATCGAGCGCGATGGCAGATTCAGACTTAGCTCAGCGTACAAGCTTGCATCCGACCAACTTGACTCGACAATGGATCCTCTTTGGGAGAAACTCTGGAAATGGAAGGGGCCTGCAAGAGCAAAACACTTTCTCTGGCTTGCTTTCCATGACAGATTACTCACGAACAAGGAAAGGAAGAACAGGAAGCTTACCGACAACGGAAACTGCAGCCACTGTCCGGATCAGGAAGAATCAGTTGAGCACATTCTTCGTGGCTGCAAGAAAGTGGAAAGAACTTGGGTCAACTTCAGACCCTACCTGACTGAAAGCAGATTCGACACTCCCTTCCATCCGTGGCTTATCAATAACCTTTGTGATGATAAAAGAGGAGTGGAGTTCGGTCTGATTTGCTGGCAAATTTGGAAGCAACGGAACGAAGAATGCATGGATGGAGCAAGCTTCTCTGAAGCGAAACTGGCCTGCAAAATTGAAGCCTGGTTTTTCATCTTCCATCAGGCTCAACTGAATGCTAACAAGTGTTTCAACCCACCAGAGGAACAAAGGGTGGAGATTGATCTGGCATGGAAGCCTCCCCCTAGGGATGGGTACAGATTCAAGCTGACGATTCTGTCCGCTCGCCCTCAGGAGGAGCTGCTGCAGGAGGGCTAATCCGCGATAGCATGGGTAGATGCCGTGCAGCCTACGTGTGCAACCTTGGCCACTGTTCAATCACGGCGGCTGAACTCAAAGGAGCGGCTGAGCGCTTACGTTTGGCTTGGGACAGAGGATTTAGAAAGGTTGAGCTCAAGATTGACTCAACTACTGCGATTGCTGTGATGAAAAATTGCAAGGACGACAGCCACAGGCATGGCCTACTTGCACAACAAGTCAGAGTTCTTTTGGATCGAAATTGGAGAGTGCGCATCTCTCATGTTTATAGAGAATGTAATTTTGCGGCCAATTACCTTGCTAGTAAGGGCCATAGTGTTGATTTTGGCACACATCTGTTCGATGTGAGCGGTCCTGGTCTGACCAAATGGATCAACTATGATGTTATGGGCGTTGCCCAACCTCGCTTTATTTGCAATGATAGTTAGGACGCCTTTGCGTCCGTCTTTCTACCCAAAAAAAAAAAAACCAACACAGAGAGCTGCATTGCACTAACTCCATCCCAAGTTCCCCACCATGTCTTAGCAATGCCACACCTCAAACGTTCGGAATTAACGACAGTCATAAACCATAAACACAGGAGGTAAGAAAACCAGAAACAGCCCAATATTGGCTTTAGCCGGCAATTTGTCTCTTCAACTTTGAATCTGACATAAAAGAAAATGTATTCTTAGAAAAAGAGAAAGAAAGAAAAGAAGGTTAAGACAGAATCAACTTGCACAATCCTAGTCTTCGCTACGAACCCCGCAGCCTAAACACGGCTTACTTCTGCATACCTTACAAATCGATCACACGTGACAACTTTTGGATGCGGTTCAGCAAGAAGTCTCCTTGTTTAATAGTTGCCTGGTACAGAGCATTCTTTGCATCAGGTCGATTGGTTTCAAGGACACCAGCTACCTTATCGATCTTGCAATGAAGCTTCCCTGCCGCAATAAAGCGCGACAATTCCCTGAATAAACACATAAAAAATTTAAGAGACTTGCAAAAACACAGCCCCAAATAATGCACTGAATAACCAGAGTATCCAAGCAGTGGAGACCGGTATAGTTCAAAACTGAAAATAAATCTAGTTACTTACAAATCAATGAACTCCACAGTCACACCGAAAGCCTTTGCCATGGCCTCAATGGTCACACTCTTGTAGGATTCCAGGAACTGAGAATAGACCACTGTTCTAACCTCCCTCATGTAGTACCGGAAATGTGGGTGCAGATATCGGTCCAGTTTGATATGCTCAGTCAGCCCAGCTGAAAAGTAGCATTCCACATCAAGTGATCAATTAATGGCACTCAGACAACAAGAGAAAAGTTTCATTGAGCGTAGAGGAAGCTTCTTGTTTGATAGTTCTATGTATTGAATAGCCAACTAAGGTAGTACATGAGCATGACAAGAATAGGCAAAATCTGAAAACTTACCAAATGCTGAGAAAAACGACTTGTATTGGCACTCATAGAGAGAGTTCAAGAACTCTGAAAGATATGGAATTTTTCCTATCACCGCCAAGATTTCAGGTGCATCAACCACCTATAAATTCAATACTGATTAATACTGGTTTCAGCAGGTGTCAAATCCTTGTAGAAATCAATTAAGGGAGTTACAAAACCAACTTAACCAGCATACCTTCTGTTTCAGGGACACTCTATCCAAGGTTATGATGCTAGTTAGAACAGTGTAGAATATGAAAGTGTCGTAGGGGAAAATTTCATATGTAGTGAAGGTTGAAATAGAATCCAAGAACAAGCTAGCTGCCTTCTTGAAGTTCCGAGTAGACATGCAAAACAAGCCTTCATAGACCTTCAGACGATTTTTCCTCTCCCAGTCACCTCCCTCTTCAAACAAGCTGCCATAATAATAAGAGCAGTAGTAGTTGTGCAATCAACTCAAGCAGTCCATCAACTTTGGTAGCACAGAGACCAAGGGAAAAAAGGAACCAACAGGCCCATGTTGACACTCACCTCTTAGCCTTGTCAATGCTCTTAGAAATGAGATCAAAGTCCATGTAGAAAAATCCAAGTTGCAACGTGTAGAACACCAAGTCCATCTTTTGTCCAACGGCAACAGTCTTAGTTTCAGTAACTTTCAGTTGTTCCAGTGCCTTCTCCTGGAATCAGAAAGGGAAAGGGAAATACTACATTCTTAGAAAAGGCAGTGAGACAGACAAGGATAACCATTTAGGAAATAGGGTACAACTAGTCACCTTGTCCCCAATACGAATGTAGAACAAGGATCTAGCCAAATGAGCTTCTCTAACTTCACTTTCACCCAAGTTTTCTTCAGCATCTGCAATCCTAGAAGAGACAATGGGATAGAATAACATTACTCAGTATATTGTAAACAGAGATAACAAGTGGGTTTGGTAGAAGCATCATTCACTTAGGATATTCCAAATCCTAGCATCACTAGTCTAATCGGACCATCTCAGTGGAAACTATAAAGCACTTGAGACAATGCCCTTAAGCAAAGGCCTGCATCATTCTGCCATAAAGTAACTAACCATCAGAATACCAATCTTCCACAAAGTTCTGGCCACAAGTCCGAAATCTAAATATAGGACTCTGATATATAACAAAGAATTTAAGAAATTGCAAGAAAAATTTGCTTTTTGAGACTGCTATACCTAGTGCCCCCTTTCGGAAGAAACAAAACTGAAACATGGATTTAAAAGTTACCATCAAATCTTCAAAAGATGCCACTGATGCACGAAAAATACTTCACCACAATTCATATTTGCGGTTGGATTGTTTTTGTTTTTTAAATTGCTACCACACTGGAACAATGTACATCTGAACAGGCTGAAGTTTACAAGACAAAAGAGGCGGTTACATTGTTATAGCTTTCAGTATATTGAACACCACAATTCCCAGAAACTGTGCAGCCAACTAAATGAAACCAAAATTTCAGCCAATATGTCACATGCATATTGAACCTGAAAGCTTAACATATCGACAGTTAGTAAGAACAATGCAATGAAATCAACCTAAAACTCCGAAGCCAGTGCAAGCACCTTCTGGGTGCTAACAGATTACTACCCCAACCACTCAAGAACTTCTGAACTGCATAAGAATCAACCTCCCCTCCATAAAACATCTATTTCCCCTCGTTATGTTGCTATTATTGCAATGGGACCTAAATCCTAATTTTGCGACAGTAAGCATTCAAGCGCAAATTCGAATCCCTAACGCAAACACGACAATTGCAAAAAAACTGAAAAGAGGAATTGTAATTCGACCGAGAACACTCACTTTTCATCGAGCTTCTTCAGCTCCTCCTCTATCTTACCCCGCATCGAATCCAAGAGGTTCTGATCCTTCTCAAGCAACGACTGCCCCACTAGGGTTTCAAACAACGGAGCCATATCTTCACGAAAAGAGGAAATATAAGACCAAAAAAAAATATATACTGAAGTCAGGTCAAACTGTCACAGTAATGCCGCTTAATTCCTCACAAGTGCACAGAACTTATCGACGAATTTGTGTTAGCTAACCATTGATTTTGATGGCCTCCAAGATCTCCTCCTTGAGACGGACCTTCTCGATGTCTTCAACATCGGGATGGGTGAATAGAAAGAGCTTGTTAGCGAGCACTAGATGTGCCTGTTGAGTTCCTTCGGGGGCGTCCATCGTGAATTGGCTCTCAGTTTTCCTCTGACCTCTGCTACAAGTTGCTTGAGCAAGGATGAGAATGTGTCTTTTGTTCTCTTTGGAAATATATCTTTCTTCTTTTCGACGGTTGAAGAATGAAGAATATATAAATAAGTGCGCTAGAAACATGGATTGGGCCGAGTGTAAGCGGTCTGGCCCAGCCCAGCCCATACTTGTTACTCCTACAAAAAAAATTTACATTCTATTGCAGTTGCGGTGCGGCACAACCGCACAAAGTCCATCCAATCGCATGTGCGATCAAATCGTATACCGGTCGGTAAATTTGTAATCTAGCATGTGGTTTACATTTTGTGCGGTTCGCAATTTGCTCTCCGTTCAATTCAAAATTGTGCAGTTGCGGTTCAAAATTGCAAACCGCAACCAGTTTAAAAATAGTAACCAGTTTAAAAATAGTTCCAAGACTTCAAGCCCGATGCTTTCTATATAATTCACGTACAGAAAATTTCGATTAGTTGTGAACTGATTTGCAAGGTCAATTGCTTTGGGCAACAAAGACAATGTTTGGTCGAACAAAGAAAATTTCATCACTTGGTGGTGGAGAAAATGTAGTATATATGCAGCTCATACTAGATTCTCCAAGTCATTTGCTTACTTTGGAGAATCGGGAAAAGCAGTAACACAATATCTTTCGACGATACTCTACTACTACCCTACATCTTCGCTGTTCATTTCCCTCATAAAGTCAAAGATTTCTCATCTACCCATGCTATTGCTCCTCCTCCACTCCACCTCTGATCCTCCCTACAGTACCTCCAACCTGGTTTCCCCCTCCACCTTGCCGCCTCATACTCAACTTCGGCGATGTTGTGCTACGAGCTTGGTGGTGAAATTCGTTGATGATGTCCACATCTCTCTATTGGTCTTCAACATCCCTGGATTGTCAATCCATATCTGGTCGAACTGCTAGCTGCTCGAGATGGTATGCATGCAATTGATTCATAATATATCAACCTCAATGAAGTCAAACACACAAGGGATTTTGAAGTCATCATACACCAGCTGCTCAGGGATGGTCAAATGCAATTGAAAGTCTGGTGCTCAGAGACGGTCTTCAAATGTTAGCCACTCTAGACATAGGCTGAAAGATTTGTGCAATCCCTAGAACTGCCAATTGGACTGCCCATAGTGCGACAAGAAAAACCATTTCTCTATCTATTTTAGAATTACGGGAAGGAGTTTATATATATTAATAAAAAGTGAGCACTCAGTGATTGTCATAATCATCAGCCGCATTATCTTGTTTCTCACCTTTCTCCTTCATCTCATCCTTTTCCCATACGCTCACACCAATGGTCAACAAAAGTATTTCTGAAGCCCAGGCCAACGTGCCAGCAGTTGCAGCAGTAAAAGCAGTGCTGATGCTGATGGGTTCGACATGGAACGACAGACAGACAGACATACACAAACAGTAGGCCGGAACGACACATGTTTCCTAGCTTGTATGGCGGCTGGATTCAGTCTCTTTGCAAACATAACCAAATTTAAGCAATGATATACAAGAAAATGTTACGAGGCAGAAGTAGACTCGTCTTACATAATCGAGTACCGCAAATTGGAGGGTGGGACTTTGATGGTCCCCAATCCCAAGTTCAGATTAGAAGGAAGAAGACTAACCCCAACTTTGGGGTGGGAACTGGATGCATTGTTTTCTGTGGACTCCAGAACCCTGGAAGCTTGGAGAGCCATTTCGGCATGAAGTTGGAGACATGACATGGCCATCTGAAACAGAAACACAACTTTCAGAATGGCATTCGTAAGTGAATTCCCCTGAGGAGGTTGAGAGCACTTGAGGTTTACTTACTATATAACACTCTCTATCTGTATCTGACTCTGTGACTTCAAGGGCCCATGTCCGGATCCATTCAAGACCTTTTGCTACCTCCACATTTCCTTCGGTTAGACATGATGCAACGAATGATGGATGGAGTGATACTAATAGGCATGAAGCCGCAAAAAGCACGGCTCTTCTAACATATGCTTCTTTGTGACGGCATATCTCCCTGTGGCATTGAAGTATAGCACATTAGTGATCATTAATGAAGAGCCCTCTTAACAGGCTACAAGTCCCATTAGTCATTTCACACAGCTCATACATTATAATTTCATTTATCCTAACAAAGTCTGCATATTGTGAGACTACCAAATGATTTCACAATCATTCACTTCTTGTAATACAATTTTCAAACTTTTGCTTCGACTATTACTTTTGTTGACAACTTATACAATAGACCTGCTCATCACTGATTGAACTAGATGGAGAATGAGCTTGACCCTGGAGTTCAGATTTACCTCATTCTTAGCATGTCTAGAAAAGGGGAGGCCAAAGCAGATGCCTCTGGGTGCAGAGAGGCACATCTCATGCAGACACCAAGCATGTGGAGAAGCTTCCCCAGGACAATAAAGTCTCTACCTAGCAAGTCTACGCCTTGCCTCTTCTTATCAAACCCCTGCATGGCAGGAAGCATGAATGCTGCAGCATAAACAGGAAATTTGTTCCCGGTCCATTCTTCCGCCTGGGTATTTTTGATATTTGCATAATGATTACCCCACCGTCGTGTCTTCCCCTTAATGATTGGACTAGGTCTAGATGGAACTTCTCTCTCATACCGGTGAGAGTAATTCAATGGAGTTCCTGTTTCTGACACCTCCTTCCAGAGAGTTGAACCAGGAGGCCCCTTGCTGCTTGGCAGGAACCAGGGTTGAGTCTCTGAGATGGTTGAAATTAGGGCTCTTGAAACAGTTTGCTGCTGTCTGGACTTCAGAGTCTTGGAAGAAGCAAGCTCCTGAGCTGCTTCCGTCATTACATCAAGAATCATTATGCGCTGGCTGGTGTCCACATGTGGGGAATATAACAGTTTGTTTATTGAATCGAGCGACTCGAACGGGGATGTGACGAGCAAGGCAACCAATGCTCTTTGCCTCTTTTCCTCTATACTTTCTTCCTCTCCCTCAACTGCCAAATCAGAGCAACGAACCTGAACAAGAGTACGAACTAGTTCCCCTGCTATGTGTTTAAGTTCATCAGGAGATGCTCTCACAAGTTTTTCAGCAGCATCAAGAGCTGCATCCACCTGATAAGAGACATAAAAGTAATAAATTTCTCAGGTTCACATCTAAAAGAAAAATGCAGGTCTTACATGCAGACCATGAAACTGTCCACCATCAGTTACTTTTTTATTACTAAAATAATATATTATATGATATCCCATCAATTCTACTTTGTCTAAAACCCTGCACATACTTTTTCTTCACTTCTACCTTAATTTAAAAAAACGGTTGGTTTTGTTGTTAAAAAGCTGAAATAAACACAGGCGTTGTTGTCTCTGAAATGTGTTTGAATAACGCAACTGACAGAAGAAAATCCAGAGACTTACCCCATCAGGATCATTGGACTTCCGCAGGGCTCCAACTATGTCAACCAACTGAGTAATTTTTTGTTTGAGATCTGTGTCGTCATCTGCCAAATCATATGGCTGCAAAGAAGAATCACCGGAAGATTCTGAAGTCTCACTTGAAGCATCATCTTCATCCTTATCTGAAGCCGATTCAAGATTTAGCATAGATGGATCGATGATCTCATCTGGATCTATCATCTTGAACTGAGATGCTCTCCTGCTATGCCTTCTTGTGATTTTGTTGGGCTGATCATTTGTTTGGTGACATGAGTCTATAATCGACTCAGAGGATGTTAATGATTTAGTGTCATCAATGTGCTTCTCAATGAAAGTAGAGGTAGAGAGTGTTCCTTTTCCATGTATGGTAAAACCAAATTCCCAGTCAATAGCCTCAACACAGTTGTCATCAAGATATAGAGGATTTTTGGGGTCTATTACTTTAGAGAAAACCAAAGCAATATTGCTAGCCATTTTCCGAACTAAATGGCCTGGGTTCTCTAGCCTACCTGTCAGGCATAAAGAGCATATTACTACAAAAAAAGAACCACGAGAACGCTAAATACTCAACAGATACAGAGGAACAAGAACTTACAGCTAACTCCTTGAAGAATCGCATGCATCAAAACTTTTGAGCTGTCTAACTCCTCTTTTGACATCTTCTCCATGCAAAGACCAATAGCAGCAGTTACGTCTGTGCTGTAGATTAAGGATAGTAAAATATGCAGTACAAAGACACACATCCAGGAGAACATGTTTTCCAGAATCAAGCCTATAACATTGTCATGTTACTTAGAATGCAATGAAAGCCGTTACAAAAAATAAGATGCCCATGATTAAGCCTCTTTGCAAAAGCTTTCTCTATGATTTTGCTTACGATAGATCACTAAGATATAGTCAAGGTCCAAATTAACTACACAGAAACTGAAACGTGAGGATACAGACTTGCTGCTCTGTGGGGGTCGATTGAATAAAGTCCTGGCTTGCCCATACTGATACAAGACGCTGCACTGTGTCTAACAGAATCTCAGTTGCATGACCTTTAGTGAGTTGATTAGCAATTGGTGGACACTGAAGAACAGCAAATTGTAGGATCCATCTTAAGCAACATAGGGGAAGCACTTTCCACAGCAAGAATTTGTCAACAAACATGGACCTGCAAAATACACAAGACAGAAGATTTTGAATGTCATAGCATAGAGAAGCTTGGAGAAGATGAAAACTTAAAAGAGTCATCACAAATGAACTAACAAACTAATGTAACTGTCACCAGTTCTAAAATCCTTGAGCTCTATTTTTCAAATCCCATCTGACATCGTGAAATGAACATATACCAAACTTTACAAGCAACATGTAAACCAAAACGGAACCAGTAATATAAGAACGATAACAATAATGCATACTGAGGAACATAAATACTGACAAATTCATCCACAAAACATTATTAAGTAGATTCATACTTGCTAACCTGATTGAAGGAGATTTCTCAAAATTCTTCCCGAAAAGTAAGTGAAGGGACCAATAAGTTTCAGTGTCACTTGCGAGCCTACTGGCCAACTGAAGCAAAATTTGCTCAGATATTCTTTCTATAGAGTATGAATCTTTGACAGCTTCCATAATATTCAACCAAAACTGGGATCCAGGATCTGACTCGAAGTTATCCACAGAAACAGAGTCACCACTTGATGATAAGATGTTCTGAACATGCCTAAGAAGCTCAGGGACAAGTTCAGCCAGAAGGACATCTGCAAGCATAGAAATGGATTCCTTTGTGTTACTGGTTGCAACATTTCAATAAGGCTCAACAGTTTACTGACCAGTAATTTCTGCAGAAAATGAGAATGCAAGCTCTTTCATAGTTTTGAGTATCAGTTTTAACTGCATGTACGGATTGATACAGAAGTTGGAAAAACTTCATCAACAATTAGGAACCAACTAGAACACCCTCACAGATGTTGGCAATTCAATGATTAAGTTGAATTCTAAATGAGTAGCAAATAAATTGGATCGATTATCCTGAGCAGAAATATATGGTTTACCACCATTAGAGCGTTTAGAATCAATTACCGGAAGATCCTCGTCGACAAATGCGAGAAAATATATCACCAATAAATAGAAGTGTAGTATCCACATCATGCTTATAGAAGATGGATTCTTGGTCTGATATAGTCTCAGTCCTATCTCGAGATACAGAAAGAAGCTGGGACGTGATCTGTTTGAAGAACAAACTATAAATCTAGTTATGGAAAAAAACAGCAAATGCAACTATATGCAAAAGGTTGATGACAGCAGATGCTAAAGCATTGCATTGCTTCTATCAAATTGGTATCAATCAACAAAGAGACTACAAACATTAATCTTTCAGCAGAGGAAAGCAATAACCAAATGCATCAACCTAGCTAAATAATATGAATGATCACTCAGAAAATGCAAGGATACTGAGATGAGAGTGAACTCGAGGCTCTCTGCGATGCCTTGTCGGGAATAGATGCCACAATTTGTGCCAATCTAGACATGACCGAAATAAGCTGTGCATGCGTCAAGTCTTCATATAACTCAGAACTTCCAAGCTCCTTGACCATTCGGAGCATGCCTCCATTTTCAAGCAAGGAGAGGACTAGCAACCTATGCATCGTAAGGTAGTCAATACATACTTCTATAGGTTCAGCAGTAGGACTACTGGAAGAGACAGTAACGACTAGGATCAATTGTGCACCTTTCCGTGTTCGATTTTACTGCTTTAGCATCAAAGCCATCATTTAAACTGTATTGTAAGCACGGAACTAAACTCTGGATAACCTCTACTGCAAGGCCATGAACAAAGAACACATCGTATACATGTTGTCTTGCTGAAAAGGGGAAACAAGGTAACCAATTGGAAGCAACGTCTGCACGAGAAAAAGAAACTTCGTATTAGCAGAAAGAAAGACTGATCAAGGAATAGCAACTGTTCTTCGGGATGGTGTATATGGACACGTTACCGATTAGCAAGACCAGGGCCAGAGTTGGAAATCCAGCTCCTCTGTAAAATGCTCGCCGCCATTTCTTCCGCTCATTTGCAGCTGGGATTTTGGCACTCCTGACCTGTTAGATACAGCAAGACCAGAATTACGAGAGCGCAGCAATAGCTTACTTCGGAAGTTGGTGGCTCCAGCAACACGAACCTGGGCCCTGTGAAGCTCGTCGAGACTACCTGCAAAATCCAAAGGTCAGCTGATTACTTCTGGATTTTTACTTGAGATTTTAGAATCTGGAATTTCAGTTCTCAATTTTGTTTCGTTCTAAGACTGACCGACGATGAGCGAGGAATCTGTGGGGAAGAGAAGAACTGCGACGGAGTGAAGAGCGCAAATCACTTCGTCGACATGTTTGGCTGACTTTATCGTTGATATTACTCCTCCAACCTCGTCTAGAAGTCTCGTCTCTATCTCCTTCTCCCTCGTTCCGTCGCTCTCCATCGGTGGTTCTGTCGCCGGAGGGAAAGTTGCAGAAAATTTTTATTCTCCGCTCGAGCCACCCAAGTGGGAACTGCTGATTATCACCCTACTTTTGGTAATTAGCAAAAGGGTCACAAATCTTGCAACTTAGTACAAAACGATTTAAACTTTTAATTTGTAATATAAAGTAACAAAACTTCGTAATTATAACAAAACGGTCACAAATTAAACAGAGTGGTCGTTTCTATAAGTTCAAACTTGTATTACCGTGTCATAAATTAAATTTTTGGTGATTATGATGTACAATGTTCAAAAATTTGAATGATCAATCACTGTTATAATTTGCTGCAATCGAGATATGATGGTTTTGTTAATTTATGTAAATGATATGACAGTATCAAAGTATTCGATTAGCCACCTTTTCTCCTACCTTGTTGACGGTTCTTTTGATGGTTTTTTATTGTGTTCGGACTCTGTCTTTCCTCCCTTGGCTATTCAATTTGATTGTTTTCTACTCCAATGAATATGAGAGAGAGGGAGACGACGAGAGCTTCAGGGAAATTCACACCATTCCCCGTCCTTGTTGGCCAAAATGTTTTCTAGGGTTTAGATGAAGAAACTAAGAAGGCAAAGAAGAAATGTCAAAATCAAAAGTTAATTTTTTCATTGAAACCTCATGTCCTTAAACGAACAAAAAATTTGATACAAATCATGGTAAAGACTGGTATACTCCAGGAGTATAATATACTCCACATGATCTAGCCGTTAGATGTACTTTGTTGAACTTCGACCAATCTCAACGGTCGATTTGAATTTTCCATAATAATGAACTTCGGGTTTGAGTTTGAAGAACCGGGGCCTAAGGTTTATCCATTAGAGGTTAGGGTATAGTATCATACCCCAAGCTCAGTTAAAATCATGCTCGAGATAGAGATATCTCACTAAGGGTACCTGGAGTATAGTATACTCTAGAAGTACACGAGTCTGACCCTACAAATAATATACAATAAATATCTTTATTTTTTTGCTTAATACACCTACATAGCCATAACTTTCAAGCTTTTGACAAATATAGCCACTTTTTGAAAAATACACAAATATAGCCACTCTTTTGAAACTAGGTTGACAAATTTAACCATTTCCGTTAGAAACTTTAACGTTGTCACTGGCGCAGTCAGCAACGATGATGTGTTGCTGATATGGATGCCACCTGGATGATACACTATCGCCAACTAGACTCATCAAACCACGTGAATGACATGTCACATTTAAAAATTAAAAGAAAAAAAAAAGAAAAAATAATATACCACCATCTCTCGATTCACTCCGGATAGATCTTATAGCTAGCAAAGCTAAAAATTCTCTCATCTAAGCCTTCTTCCTCCCTCCACATACAACAACCACCACCACCAACCACACTTCTTCCTCAATTCGCAATCGTCGTCACCATCGTCATCCCGCCGCCGACGTCTCTCCGGATTCTAGCATCCCACCTCCCATCAGTCTTCCCCAATTTGCAGAACCGCCTTTCCATTCAAGTCTAGTGACTTTCCTTGAAATAGATGGGGGGGGGGGGGGAAACAGAGGGTCGCGGCAGTGGGCTTCTTCTTCTCATTCGTTTGGTGTCCTTCCTTTCCCTAATCGATCAGTCCCCCGCAATCCTAGTAATTAAAGCAAGCAAGCAATCAAAAGGCGTTTGGAAGAATGAAACAAAGATTGAGCGACGGAAGAAGTTCAAACGTCTCGTCGACAAAGTGGATGACCCGACAGGCAAAACAGGGCATGGTCGGCGCTTTCGGGAGGAAACAAGGGAAAGGGTTCATACATCTTCCACCTTCTTCACCAGATCCAGATCTGTGACTCCTCCCTTCAAACCCCTCTCTTTCCCTGTCAATTACTCGATTTCGCAGTGACGGGGGCGGTGCATCCGGCCTTTGCCACTGAAGACCTTGACGAGGACACCTATAATTTGACCGAATTTACAATTGCGGCTGCAAAAACTAATGGAGAACGAGTTGTGGCTGAATTTCCCAAGTTTCATTAGCGTCGATTGAATTCGGGATATGGGTTAGGGATTTAGGAATCCGAAGCTTTTTTACTCTTGGTCTCCTGTTTGCAGATTTCCGATTGAGTTTTCGGGCTAGGGATTTCAAAATTAGTATGGATATGTGGATTATAAGGTTTGGGAATTATGTGGAGAATTTTTATTTGATGGGTGCCCTTTCAATGGCGGAGAAGCAACAGCACAAGAAGAAGAAGGGGAAGAAGATGGATGGGTGTGGGGTTCGACGGAAGGAGAGGATACGAGGTAAGTAGGTGAAAGGGTAAAGTAGTTTTTTGTTTTTTCTTTAATTAATGAAATTTAAAATATATTCCACCTGGCATTGCCACGTCAATGAAAAATCACCACATCACCAACAATCATTTGTCCAGTCAGCAGTCATGATAGTGCCGTTAAACTTTTGGACGGAATGGCTATATCTGTATACTTCGATGATGAAAGGCTATGCAGGTGAATTAAACCTTATTTTTTAGATGATGGATTTGGGCCCAAATCAATCACAAATCTCTCAGAACAAAATCTTTTCATCCAAATGATCCCAAGATAGGAGGGGAATAAACTTCAATGCCAAATAAATCGTTATGTGGGATTACATAAATTAATTTTATGGATTAATACCACTATAAATTACGGACTTTAGTGGAATAGCGTTTATATTCCATACTTAATCTCGGACTTTAATGACTAAATTGCAGTAGCAAGATCGCCGAAGAGTTTGTTGCCCGAGTTGTCGAGGTGTTCCAAAAGAGAGCAATCTCCAAGACAAGGAAGCTCGTTGCCTAATAAATTGTTCGTCACTGTTGTTTTCCCAAAAAACTATTGTTGCAGTGAAGGATTAGAGAAAAAAAAAACACATAAAAAAATCTTTCGCGCAAACAAAACTCTAGCGATAGACAGCGCAATCTAAACGTTGTGAAACTGCCATAGTAGAGAGAGAGAGAGAGAGAGAGAGAGAGAGAGAGAGAGAGATATGAAGAGGTTGTTCGAATTCGGAGAGGAGATCATAGAAGCGGTGATGCAATAGGTTGACGAGAGCGGAAAGCGTGTTGACGAAATGCTTAAGAGGTAGCATTCTCATTAATTTTGGGATCATCTTCACAAGGAGGGTGGCGCGGGGAGCGAGAGGCGAGATCGACGCCTTTGGTATTGATGATGGTGTTGCTGGGTGCGAGTTAGTGATGACAATGAGGGGGAGGTGCAGCTTGTGAATAATGAAGCTTATCCGCACCTTCACCGACAACTGCTAGGTTAAAAATTAGTGATAATAGAATGAGCAATTGAGTGAAAATTAGTGATAATAGAACGTGTAATTGAGTCTAACTAGTTGAATAAAAGTCAAAATATAAATAAATATCATTAAAAATTGAGATAGATTATGCCAAGAACTGGGCGGATCAGGTAAACCCAACTGATCACGGATCAGGCCGGGTAATATACGGCGGGATGGGTTCAAATTGCCATCACTAATGCGAGTTTCCGAGAACGATGGCTTCAGAACTCTCCGCCAAGGACTTGTTCAATCGGTCAAACCGGTCTGTTATATCACGGACGACCGAATATGAACAGTTGTGACCGGATCCAGGCTGATGCCCATGCCCTAAATGGATTTCTCGCAATTTTTTTCCATCGAATCTAAGCCAATTCGGATCAACCCGCAGATGGACCGGCGTACTAACTACTAATAGGGATGTCAATCCAACCTGTAACCATGGGTACCCTACCCGGCCGTAACCGGTCAACGAGGGTAATTACCCGCTTTGACGGGTTAAGGGGCGGGTACGGGTAATACCCAGTTTCAAAATAAAGGGTAGGTACAGGTATGGTAATCGATAATACCCGCCCCGTTATACCCACCCCGCTAACCAAAGGGTCAATTTCCCTTGAGAAATTTATTTTAGTTTGAGAAATTGAGTTTAGCTACCATTATTGATGATGAAGATGTAAACGATTATTATGTTTGTGTGGATTGTAGAAGCAAGAACAATTATTATGTGTTTGCTATTTTTATTTGTGTGGATTTTTGAAGCTAGAACAGTTACAAGTATTGAGAATTTTTAATAGACAACAGTATGTATGTGCATATATGTGTATAAGTTCATAGTTTAGAATTCGTACCCATGCTTACCCGAATACCCGTGGTTACCCGGTGAGTATGGTATGGTTATATGGAACTAGCAAGGCGACTGATCCGGATGATGGGGGACTCCAAGCTCCTGCAAAACAAGGGTCCTTGGGTGATCACCCAGGACACCCTCCAAAGCTCAAGTTAGAGAGAGAGAGAATCTTGTAGTAATGTTTAGAGAGAGAGAGAGTAGTTGGTTTACCATCAATGCAGATATGAATGTATTTATAGTGGTTTGGGCTGGGCTTCGAGCATTAATGACCATGTCAGGCGCCCTATACGTTGTCTTACTTTATTTAGACCGCCTACGGCGGCAATTAATGCTTAGTCCTGCAGTATTCGAGGTAAGTATCCTAGGAAGATCTCCCATTATGCCCCTAACGGCTCTTTGTGTCAGGCGCCCTAGTACCTGTCATGTCCTAGTATGGCCGCCCTCCTTTATCTGCTTTCTTGTGTGTCACGTTCCCCCAGACGTCTTCTTGGGCCCTTTGGACGGGCCTTACCCTTCTGGGCTTCCAAGCCCTATATTGCTCAGCTATGGCCCAACAATTGCCCCTTAGTCGTGAAAAGCTAAGGATTTTGGCGGCTACTTTATGTCCTTTGATAGCTGAGCGGTCCTTTCATTAGCAGCTGTCTACCCTTTTGCCCCCCTGGCCGCCGCAGATCCGTGATTTTCTGGTCGACAGCCTCCTATAATGAGTTGCGTTGTTCAACTCTGCTGTCCACCCCTCTTCAGAGCTTTGATTGGTTAATTCCGAATGCGCCCTGCAGGTCCACTCCTTTCTTGGCCGTCTTCTTTCCTTGTTGATGTGACCCGAAAGCGGGCTTTCGAGTTGCTTCGTATTTTTAGCGGTTGAGCTGTTCACCCCCTTTTGCTCGCTACCCCTGAGCATCCATCTGAAGGGCTTCCAAGCATCTATGGTGGGCTTTTAAGCGGTTTCGCTGTCCACCTCCTCTTGACCTTCAGCTTGTTAGCTTGTCCCCTGATGGCCGCTTGTCGATTGGCCTTCCACGCCTCGCTATGCCGCCCATAAGT